GGATCGCTTTCAATCTCGTCATTATGGTAATCAAAGAGGTATGACCAAGAACGGGCACCTTTTGCTGACGTCGTGTTTTAACGATAATTTTTAATTTTTTGCTTGATAGAAGTTTTTTCCGTCGTATCTCGTAGTCCAAATGAGGAATCTTGAACCGTCTTATAGCGTAATTTAAACAATGCATTTTAATTATACGAGAAAGCAGAAACATTGCTAAATATTTATTCGAAAAATAATTAGTATGATGCGGTGCATCTATATTCATCAAAAGAAAAAAAAAATTAAATTTAAAGTTGGTGTAATTTTATGAAAACCTGCATGTAACAATGCTTCACAAGAATCTATATCTTTCATTAGCATTTCGAAGTTGTTATATTTTGAAAGATATTGAGCAAAGTCTCTTCATAAGATCCTTTTGGTATACCCAGAACATTTCAAATCTAGCCAATAGCCAACGCATCAACTTTCCATTTGTGGTATCTGGACCCAATAGTCAACGCCTCAACTTCCCACTTTCGGTTTAAGATTCTTATAAGAATTTCTATTTCCAATTCTAAAGAATCATGGGATTCTCGTTTTGTTGCCTTGTGTACATTCAAGTACTAGAACTGCTAATGGGAATAATGACAGACACTGCTGATAATGATGGTATCAAGTCTTCACTTTCCCTTTGATTCGGCTCTTCCAATATTCTAAAATGGGAAACAAAATGTTTAAGTAGAATAAAAGTGATTGATATAATTGAAAAGTGAGGATATTTACCTTCATGGCGAACTTGCAACATATTGGTTACTGACCTTTTAGCCTTATTTGGGTACATTCTTCTAATATTTATGATAACTGTTTTCTAACTTCATTTAGGTACCTTTGGCTAAAGTAGGAATATTATCAGAATGAGAAGAAACCATATTTCTCAACATTTCAGCAAATTTCTCATCAGTTTCCTCATTATTAATGCGTTCAGGAAATGATCTTATTAATTCAAAAGAATCAAAATACAATTTATAAATACTTTTGATATATGGATTTGTTCCTACTATAAATGGTAAATTTTGCAAGGCTTTTACTCTTCTTGCTAATCGAACTGGCAATTCCGAACGTGTATAATTTGCTGACTCAAATAATTTTGAAGTACTTAATGGTGGTTGTCCAAATCGAATTAATTCTTTTAACGTAACTGGTCTAATAGATTTTTCAGCATATTTTGTTACTTTATCATCATAGAATGATACTATCATTTCATGTTGAGCGCTATATGGACGAGTATTACGGAAAAATTGCAGCGATTGGTGAGAAGAAAGGATATCATAGAAAAATTTACTTGGTTTGTTAAATCCACGAATATTTGATATTGTCATGTTTTAAAATGTAGAGATTTTCAAAGAACGTTTTATTAAAAATGAGTATTAAATATCAAGTTGTATGAAATTAGTCAAAGCAATCGAAACTTTTGGAGGAATGTATAGTAGTATATTGCTGTCTTGCATCGTTATTAAAAACTTTGATCATTCTGACAGTTGACTGTCACTTGATTATCACGGAATCACATTTTATTTTATTGTATGTTGTGTAACATTGATCCATATCGGATGGATTGTAATACAATCAATAATAGGTAATACTAAGTATTGCTATTATTTCCTGCATGATCTCCGGAGAGAATCAAGGCTCCATCAAGCAAAGCCCGGAGAAAGATTCCCCGAGCGCC